AGGTTTCAGGGAAGAGTGAAAGAAAACACATTAACTCCACATTATTGAACATCTTCTGTGTCAGGTTGAATACATCTTTGTTATCCATTGATCCATTGTCTTCCAAATGTTTAAAGACAATTGTGGAAGCCTCACATGTAAATCAGTGGTTATATAAGATAGTACTGTCTTGTAATGCATTGTGCTAGAGGGGTAAGTATTAAATATCATGAGAGCTCAGAGGAGAGGCACCTACTGGCTTCTGGGAGAAGAGCAAAAACCTATATATAAAACAACTTTTTTTTTATGATTTTGGTTCTATAAGTGATAATTAGTGTATTCACAAAGTCCCATTAAGTTCTGTAACATGTCAGAATCAGGAAAGCTCACACACACAATGAAGCCAAAGAAAAAGTTCATTCTTCTCACTCTTTCAGGAATCTACTTGAAAATGGATCGGTTTATGTTGGATTAAATGCTGCTCTCTGTGGCCTCATAGGAAACAGTCTTTTTCGACGCGTCTTGAATGTGACAAAGGCTCGTATAGTTTCTGCCTTACCAATGGCAGTGCTCCCTTTCTTTACAACAGAAGTAACTTACAGAGGTTTTGTAAATTTTCCTTTGATAACAGGTAAACTCTACTTCACTATCACCAAAAAGTTTGCCTTAGTCATACTTATTAAGTCCTGTATGCTATAATGCAGTATTTAAATAAGATTAAATCTTGCTAGCCTCTCTATGTAATGTGGTAAATAATTCATATTAGCATGGTCTACCAACCAAGATGCACAAACACAGCAGTTCTAAGCTTTTTTTTTTTTTCTTTTTGAGACAGAATTGTTCTTGTTGCCGGGAGGCTGGGCTGGAGTGCCCTGGTACAGTCTCGGCTCACTGCAGCCTCCACCTCCTGGGTTCAAGTGATTCTCAGCCTCCCAGGTAGCTGGGATTACAGGCACCTGCCACAACAACTGGCTAATTTTTTGTATTTTCAGTAGAGACAGGGTTTCACCATGCCAGGCTGGTCTCAAACTCCTGACCTCAGGCTATCCACCCGCCTCAGCCTTCCAAAGTGCTGGGATCACAGGTGTGAGCCACTGCACCTGGCAATGCTTTCCTTTTTCTAACATTTCTTTCTGACAGTGCTCGTTTAGAGTAAGAAATATTTGGAAATCCATATATGAAAATTATTTATATGGAAATATTTTATATATATATAATGTTGGCTACCTTATATTTTTTTAATTTACATTTTATAGAGCAGTTCCTTAAAGGAAAAATATTTTTTGGAGAATCACACTCTTTATATAGTAAATCTCTTAAAGCACTAAATGCATATACAATGTTTATCAAATGCATGGAGATTTGATTTCCTTTTGAAAATTTACCATGTGTGCTGAATGCTTTGAGTATAGTTAATCACAAAAAATCTTTTGATTAATGATTTCAAATAAAAATATTACTATGGGTGCTAGGGAAGGCAGTCCATCTAAATTTTACTTTCTGTAAGTGCTGCTCCAAATTTGTTTAAATTGTATGAGTGTTTTAATTCCCATGATCAGTGAAAAGAAGGTCTATGATCAAGGGAGACCTACTACCCATTGAATTAAACAGATGAGTGAAAATATTAGCCTGGGTCTGCTGATACAAAACAAGTACAGAAAGCTAGGACCAGCCCAAATCATGAAATTAATTATATCTAAGTTCAGACCAAATTACAGAATTTTTTTCCCTAAGATAGTTTTATCAATACCTATTTTAAGTTACTCATAGATAATTATACCTTTTAACATGTTTTGTCGAATTGCATTTGGTATGTGCCTGAAAAATGTCTGTGATACATAGAAGAGGATCTTACATTCTTTAAATCATATTTGCTTGACTATCATGACCTTTATTTCCAGAACTAATTTATTTCCTAGGTGATTTGAATTGCGAAACTTGTACCGCAACACGTAGTGGACTGGTTGGTCTTCTTGTTGGTGGTCTATACCCTGTTTTCTTAGCTTTACCTGTAAATGGTAGCCTAGCAGCCAGGTAAGATTGTTTTCTCATAATCAATGAAAAACTTTTTATAATATGTGGTTACCTATAAAAGTCACAACTTAAAGCAGCAAATATATTTTCTGTTTTTAAGGCATTTAGACCAAAGGCAGTGTTACCCTCTTGATTAGAAGTTAGCAAGACATGTTTTTTCTTATAATCAAATTTTACTTCTCAAGAATTTCAAACAGTTCTACTTGATGTGTAGTTCAGGCTATTAGCCTTAATTTGTGTACTGAATACTAAACTAACTACAAAGCTGCAGATACGCTTCAAAGCTATTCATACAAACAATTTTCTTGGATGAGTTTGAACACTTGCACTAAAGGATAATTCCATCAGAAAATGTCTAGCTGTTGTATTAGCAGTCTTCTACTCTAAAATAATTCTGGTTATTCTCTGTGGAACTCTTGCGTCAGCAATTTATGCTACAACCTTGAAGCAAAGTACATAAAGAAACAAAAGAAAACAGTTTTTGGGATTAATAGACACTGAAGACTTTTACCTTAATCTCTAGTTTTATCTTAAGACTTCTAGGATTCATATATATCATAGATTAAGTTTTCACTTAATGAAACAATAACTATCCCAATGTTTTCTTACAGGTATGAAACGGCTCTGTTACCAAACAAAGGGAACATCTTAAGTTACTGGATTAGAGTTTCTAAGCCTGTCTTTAGAAAGATGTTATTTCCTATTCTGCTCCAGACTGTGTTTTCAGCGTACCTTGGGTCTAAACAATATAAACTTCTTATAAAGGCCCTTCACTTACCTGAACCTGGCCAAGAAATTCACTGATTTTAAGCAAATATGTACACAAAAATAAAATAGTAAAAACAGTTTATGTATAATGTTATTCATCAACATATAATTCTGAGACCTACAATAAAGGCTACACAGGGCAACAAAAAACTAAATATGAGTAAAAGCTACCCACTTAAACAAGTGTAACTTTACTAGTCTGCCCAATATTGTCTCATCTACCTCGCTTGCTCTACTCTTATCCTAGGCATTAAGTTCAGTAACACAAGAAAAAAAAAACAACTGTATAGTATTTTACACTGAAGACGTCATAATGCCAAACAGGAAAAATGAAAAAAAAAGTATAAATACACTATACCAAATGTTACTTATAATTCACTTTCTCAATTCAAATTATTATTAATTCATAAATTCTTAGAACTGATTTAACAACCTTCCTCACAGGATCAATCATGTTCTTGAGTCATTCAGGCTCAGCTTCAGCTATTATGATATAGACCTATTTAGAGTCACCTTATTTGGAAAGTTTTTAGTTTAGGTAGTCTTTCAAGCTTCCACTTATTTAGAATCACAGAATTAATCTCTCTGACCCTCAGTGAAATACCCTAGTTGATTCATTTCCTAAGATCATTTAAATTTTTGCGTGCTTTCTTCTGTTCTCCTAACATTTCTTATCCTAGTTCTCTAAACCATTTTCTTTTGTGACAGCAACTGAATCAGCATTGTCCAACAAAGCTTTCTGTGATGATGGAAATATTTTATATCTGCACTGTATGTTAGCCACTAGCCTGTGTACTTGCTGAGCACCTCAAATGTGGCTAGTGCAACTGAATAACTGAGTTTTTAATTTTAATCCATTTTAAATTTCAACCATGTGACTAATGGTTACAGTATTGGACACCATAGATCTAAATTAACACTTTCTTATGAAGCAAGCTAATCATCACAGAAAAGTGTCAAACAAAATTTTAAGTGGCATGCAAGATTATTCATGAATCTCTTAACTATTACTTCCAAATAGTGGCATACCTGTTAAGTAATCTTACACTACTTAAAATTACATATAATAATTTAGAAAAGGCATCTTTGTGAGTGAAACAGGCCTTTAGCTTCTGTTTAAAGAAAAATATAAAGCAGTGCTGCAACAGATGAAAACTCAAGTGAAATTAACAAAATACAATGTTTTTCAGAAAGCAAAGATGAACTGTTCTTTAAACAGGCACATAAAATGTATTATCTACCAAACTTATTTAGATAAGAAATGATCTCAATTATGAGGCAGAAGGATCTATATGCACAAAAGAGACTGAAAGGAAGCATGCCAAAATGTTTACTGTGGATATTCTACGGCTTATAGAGTTATACGGTAATTTTTCTTTTCTTCTTGATTCCTTTCTGGACATTCTCAGTTTTCTATAAAGAATATGCTTTGCTTTCACAACTAGGGAAAGAAAGATATATAGATATATAATATTTAAAGGGCAAAACAATATAGCTGTTGATTTTACAAGCTAAAATATCAAGATGAAAAGCTCCAACTCCAAATCATCCATTTTACCTACATTCTGTCACTTTAAGGCAGAGTTCTACTCATCACAGTGAAAAAACAATGAATTAAAAGTAACTTCTGATGTTAACCCAACTACCGAATTAGACTCCTTAATACAGAATGGTGTAATCAACTTAGATAATTCAAAGCCCAATGATATAACTAAGTTCTTTGATAACTGAGCAGTTTCCTTCCTTATCCTTAAACATACCTAGCCTAATTACTCCCTAGCATAATACCATTTACAAATGGGGATGCGTTTACAATGGTTTCTGTACCCAAAAAGTATTTCTGATCTCTGTCGTCTGCCATATTTTACAATAATTGTTTTAATTAGTAGAAATGGGCAACATAAACAATAAAGCATGTTAAGTCTGTTGCTACAAATTTTGCCAAAATTTTTGTTCAGAGGGCAGATATCTGCATTATTTAAGGGCATTTGGTAATGTATAGCTAACACCTGAGGTAAACTACCCTCAATCATTTTTAATATTTCAGACCAGTCCCAGTAGACAAACTATTTAAATCTTTTATAAGGTACATTAAATTAATATATTTTATAAAGCCCAAACTATAGTAGACTAAGAGCCAGAGGGGTCTAGGAAACTGACTTCAGTGGGTAAACAGCAAAGACAAAATTTGAAGGCAGACTAAAGGAAGTTGAGCTAAATAAAATTCAAATCAGTATATTAACAGAACTACACAAATATTTAAAACACAGTAACTATACTTTTCAATTAGTTCATTGTGAAAACTGAGCAAAATATCTTCAACAATTTTGGGTCAACAAAAATTATAGGGTATTATAAGACAAAGAATGACTGGTGTTGAGTGATTACTGAGGGTACACATAAAGGTACTGAAATTCAAATCTGAAAAATACTGTGCTGGCCAAACATAACACTACAAATTTCTAATGGAAGAATTCCTGTTTTTTTCATCCCCAGCTTTGATGGTAAGTATATTTAAAAAACAGCAAAAATATAAACATTTAGGAATCTTAAAACTTTGTACTGGCCGAGAGTCTGGGAGAAAAAAATCACTTACAAATATCATACTACCAATAAAACTTTCAAGAGTCATCAGATTATTTAGCTTTAAAATGTTACTAAATCAGTGAGACCTTAACTACACATTCAAAATGCTGAACTAGGTAATCACATTAAAAAGATGACTCATAATTACCCAGTCTGTTCTAGTTAAGATCACCAAATAATGTTGGTGCCTTTGCTTCTGGAATTATAACCAGCTGTACTGTAAGGAGCATCAGCACTTAAGTTTTAATTAAGACAGTGGGAATACTTCTTGTTGCCTGGCTTCACAGGTAATGAATACACTTAAAGTTATAAGAAACTGACTGGATTTAATAAGTTTTGAATAATATAATAATCAGCTGTTTATTAGGAAGTAAGAGCCTGTCTCCTTACCCAAATCCCTCTTCTATCATCTGCACATTTCCCAAATGAGTAAGGTAAAATGACTCAATCTAAACCAGGTGAAGTAATATATTAACATAATCCAACAAAAATGAAATAAAACAATCCAGAGTTTTGAGTGTTTTTTCACACTTATAATAAACTGAAAAAATATTTCAATTAGGTAAAACAACCATATGCCACAAAAAAGCCACTCCCGTCATCCAGAATACTAAAGCCCTTATACAACACTAGATAAAGTTTTATATAAAACAGTAGAAACTAGCATACCATTAATTAAAAACCTCAAAATATTCAAAAAACAGTGTTGAGTACTTGGAGAAAGCTCAAGAAGCCAAAACCTCAGAATCTATACATCCTGGTTGTTAACCTACATTGCAATTAACTACCCACACATTTAAAAATAATCAACTTTTTCAAAGATATACAAATCAACGCAGCTATTTAAAAGGACTACTCTTATAGTTCAGAACTTTACATTAACTTTCATATTCTACTCAGCAGGGTGTCTGTACTCCAAATTAGCTCTCACGTTCAGTAAATAAATACAAACTCATACGCCTTGTGATCACTGATGGCCTGCTTTGTGATTCTAGTCCACTAAATGTAATTCCATAGAATGTGCTCTTGATTATGTAAAAACTGATTAATTTCTTGATGAAATACTGTAATACCCCAACAGTTACAATTTTTTAAAGATATGCAAAGAACTGAGTATTACTCCCATGAAAGACAAAAAAAGTGTAATTTTGTTCCAAGATTAACTTAGTCTCATGAATCTCTATTAAGTCTTTCAAGGATTCCAGAGAATCTTTTCATATCTCCATTTCTGGAAAGTGAAATCAGTATAGAAGTAATTTGGGAACTTGAAAATGGCATTCATTTTTTTCAGCAGATGCCAAATTTTTGACCGACATGGCTCTCACAATTACTTTGTTACCATCAGTCCAGTCAGTTAACAGGTTGTAGGAAAAGATTCGTTTTTGCAGACACTGCTAAGCTGTTTAAAGAGAAGAGAAAGAGATTAATTTAGTGATTATAAAACGCACAAATATTTAAAATATTTCGAACACTTTTTGTTGGATTATATCAGAGGTGAGACTACATTTTAACAAAAGCGGACTTTTTAAGATAATTCTGGTCAAGGAAGTGCAGAAACAGTAAGTCAATATGATAGAAACAGTAGGTCAAAATATGATGTGTTAGTTCAATTAATGTATGAATTCCTGCCACCATCAAAGACAAATATTCAAAAGCTATTATCTTTAGTCTAGTTCTGTATCATTTTACCAGAGGCACATTTAGAAGACAAAAGGGTCACCCAAATACTTAATTGTTTTCAACCATTACAGTAAATAGAGCCAAACCTAGAAATTTCAAAAACAATCCATTTTATATTCCAGAAATCTCCTTTATCCATGTGCTAACCCTCCAGAACACAATTTTCTAAAAATAGTAAGACGACAGTTTCACATTAATCATAACTTTTTTAATTAACAAGTAGTGAATCAGACACTTTAAGATATTGTTTACTACATACTGAAATAAACAGATCTGTTTAAATTCAGAAACCCAAACATTTACAGTAAAATGCGCTTACACATAAATACGACCAAATTTATTTAAAGCCCCTATTAGATCCTAAATACATGCAATTACCATGTAAAAACAAGACCATGAAATTGATGTAAAAAAATGACAAAAATCACTAAGTCACCAAAACTAGAAAAAAAAAAAACCAATGAAATGGAAACTGAGAAAAGACAGTTAATAAAACATAAGGAACCTAACAAAGCAGCTTTAAAAATAGGCCATACTAATCTTTCCATTTTCAAAAGTTCTTAAGTAATTCCAAAAACTGCCATTTATAAAATGACATTCCAAAAATCTATATTTGGAATTTCAAAGCATCTTAATTCAGAAAGCTTTGACTACTTTTTCTCCCCAGCCCACAACTTCAAATAATGCAGGAAAAGTATTGATGTAAAGAAGAATATTCCAAGAGAATGGTATAGTTTTTAGAAAAATGAACTTACTGCTTTCCAGAACCTTTTAAGACCCACAGTCAGCATTAACAACAATTATTTTTCCTATTTTCATCCATTATTTTCCAATGTCATGTTAGAGATGAATAAATTCTTTGAGCCCATAACTAAAAGATCAACAAACCTGGTTTTATTATGACAACATATTTTTGTCATTGGTACTGCACAAAATTATATACAAAGAAATATATACAAAATGTTCAAGTATTAAATTTCAATTCAAGGCTTCTGTTTCAAAAAACCTACATTTAACATATTTCATAAGGATAGCACAAATTAGTCATTTCAAATAATCTTTCCAACTACTTTTGGTTTATATATATATATATATATATATATATGTATATATATATAGAAAAATTCAGTAGGCACTAAAAATCCATGCAGCTGCATTGTGAGGGGCTTGCTCCTGCCCTTAGATATAAGCAGGTTCATCACTCCAAGTTGTGAGTTTGGCTACTACCCATTCATGCTCAAGTGCAGTAGATGATTTTACAAAATATGCTATGATGCACTGGAAACCAAAGACCAATTTAGGTCTCAAATCATATTATCTAGCAACAAAACATTTACAGTTGTGCAAGAACAAGGATTCCATTTTCATAACCAATTAACAACAAAATAAGACATTTTATGTGTAAGATAACTTACATCTTTGGACTGCTGGAAAATACTTTTTAATTATGAACATTTTAAAAAGAAAAGACAGCAGAAGCCCTGATATTACCTCTTTTTCCTCATTTCTTATACTACCTTTTAAAATAAAGCAGGAAATGTGGCCAGCAGCTGGTCCCGTCTCTTCTGCCCCAACAGCTGTATCCACTTTAGCACAAAGAAAAACAAGGATGCTAAATACGTATATACTTTATCAAGCAGTGATGTTTCACAAAGAATTTCTTAATGCCTCTTACACTGAAGGACACCATAACTCAATTTATACAACTGGTTAACAGATTTAAGGGAAGAATAAATCCGACCTTTGGGGAAATAGCGCCAATCGTGTCATTTTAGTGGCCAGAACCACTCAATTTTAAACATTATTTCTGAATAGGACAAATACTTTTGAAATACAGAGAATAAGATTCTTTGTGAAGCCTCACTTTACACGTTTTCATTCACATTTCACAACCTTCATTATCTAATCATACATATATAAACTTAACCTAAAATTTTAATACAACAAAAATAAAGATGTTCAACAAGTTATTCATACTCAGTGATAGGGTAATCACTGCTGGTCCTCAAAGAAACATTAACCATTCTCATTCTCCAATTAACTAAAACACAGGAATCTGGTATGCATGTTAATTTCCAACTTCTTTAATAGTGAGATATTAAAATCTGTTACTCTGAATAGACTGTTTCTATATCTCCTACTGAAAACTAAAAGGCATTGTTGACTATTTAAGAGATACCTGTCACCTCCAGCAAAATATCACATTTGTGCATGCCCCAAATACTTATTGTCAACCTTTGAAAAGTTGCCCTAAAATAGGAATTCCAATTTGCACCTTGTACAACTCGGAACTTCCATTCAACTTCACCTGTTTCACTGTCTCCAAACTGTATCTCTATAAGCAGCTTTCAGTGTACAGTTGGAATCGATGTCATCCAAGGCCATGTCCACACTGGGGACAGAAGAGCTAGGTACACGCAAGTCTGAATAAGGGGACACATTAATAGCTATTTCAACCAGAAGAGGCATCTTAAAATACATTCTTGACCAGCACAAGTCTGTTTCCAGGGTGGACAGGGCCCAAATTAGATTTCCCTCCCACCTTCCAAAACAGGAAAAACAAAATCACACACACACACATATTGAGATGTTGCCCATTAAAGTAGACTAAGCAGCAGAGCATGAGCGTTACGTGAAGAGATGGATCCTTACCAGGTTGTGAGGCGGGAACGACTGTTCTGTAACCCCTACAACGGAGCCTGGCAGGAAGGAAATCACCTAAAAAAGAAACTGTCAGAGAGATTTAATAGTCACATGTTATCATTAGGAGTTGGTTACTGTGTCACATTCATGCTTTTAGCTAAACACTTTAAGATTCAATATTACTTTTTTTTTTTCTCCTCTGAAATGTGTCCGGTGAAGATGTCCCACTAAGGTGTTTGACATGGTGTAAGGGAGTTGAAAGGGGTAAACGCGGATAAAGAGCAGATTACTTGACCCTACATTTTAAGAGAAGACGACGCCTTCCGGGCGCACGCCGAGCAGAACTCCACCGACACCTTATCCTTGTCCACATGGAGACAGACTCCTCCCGCCGAGTCGTCGTCTTCCAGTAGGTCCTGCTGCTGCTTTCCCACCGGCAGTGCGTAGTCGTGGTCACCGGCGGGCGAGTCTCTGAAGAGTGAGGTGGTCAGCCGCAGTCCCACGCCGCTCAGCCGGCTCAGCAAGCGAGCCAGTCCAGTCTCGTTGGCTAAGACTGCCCGTAGGTAGCGACTCTCCTCCTGCAGTGCCTGTACGCGTTTGCCCAGCTCCCGATTCTCGGCCCGCAGCTCCTGGTTCTCGGCTGCCAGACCCCGGACTCTACTCTCTAGCCCCATCACGTACTCCTTCTTCTTCAGCCGATTAAGGCGGGCAGCGGCCGCCGCCGCTTTCCGGGGACTCTTTGTCGCCGCCTGGTTGTTGTCGTTGCCGCTGCCGCCGCCGCCACCACCGCCGCCTCCTCCGGGGGACTTTCTCCGCCTCTTTTCGGCGCTGCCACTGTCACTGCTGCTGCTGCTGCAGCCTCCGATACCGTTTAACAGCCTCTGCAGCAGGTCAGAGAAGCGCTGCATTTCAGCTGCAGCGGCCTCGTCGTCGTCGTCCCCTCTCCACAGGCCGCCGCTATCCGAGCCTCCACCAGACGAGGAGAGAGGCCCCGGCGAGCTAAGCCCGGGCTCCAGGTGCCAGTCCGGTTGCCTGGGGTCCAGGAGATCCGCCAGTTCCAGCCCAGACAGAAAGTCCATATCCTCCGTCTCTTCCCCCGGGAGGCTGGCAATCGCCTCCTCCTCCATCTCTTCGGGCGAGGGCGCGCGCACGGCCACGCCGCCGCGGCTCCCCCTCCCGGCTTCCAACTCGCCCTCGTCGCCAAGAGGCTGCTTGCGGCCGGGAGATCCGGCCGCTGCCGTCTCTTTCTCCCCCGCCGCCGCCGCCGCCCGGGTCAGTTCCGAGGGCAGCGAGCAGGTTGCAGCCGGCGCCGGGCTCTCACTGCGGGTTGGGGAGTTGCTGCCCGAGGCTGCCAGCAGCTTGGTCAGGCTATGCCTCATGAGGCCCGGCGGCGGGCCGCAGTAGGCCCCGGCCACTCAGACTGGGCCTCAAGGGCTCCCAGTATCCCAGGCCCCAGGGCTGGTAGCCTAAAGCACTGGCCAAAACGAAATGGAGGGAAAGGTCAGAGTCGCCTCCCGCCTCACTTGGTTGGTCGACCCCCCGCGCCAGGGCGCGGGGAGGGACGGGAGAACCTAGCAGTGAGGCCGAGCGATGACTCGACCGCGCCACCCAGACAACGGCCTGGCCGGAAGTCAGTCGTTTTCGCCTCAGCCCCGCCCCCAGCGTTTCGCGCGCCACCAGGCCGTAGTATCGCGAGATACGAGGGTGCTTTGGAATGGGAGTAATTCCAGCTTTTTGATGATGTCATAACTGGCAAAAATAGCAACAGACTCTAGGTTTATCCACCCTAATTCAATAATACTATTTAAAACCCAGACTCAACAACACAACATTTTGCCATATTTGCTTTATCTTTCTATAAATGCTTGTATTTTTTTTAATGAATCATCCTAAATCTGCAGATAAGACACCACACCTCTACTTACTTAAGTGTGCATCTCTAAAACTAAGGAGGTTTAGCACATCTTCAGAAAATCGTTCACTAATACTGTTTAATACCTGGGCCATTCTAGATGTCCTCAGTTGGATGATGGATATGCTAATTACCCTAACCTGATCACTACATTCCATAAGTATGGAAACATCACTATGTTTGACATGAATGACAATTATTATTTGTCAATGAAATAAATTAAAACACAAAGCAAAATGAATGTAGAATACAACACTGCTTACAAAAATTGTTTTCAGTTGTTCTTGTCATTTTTTTATAAGTAGATATTTTCTTTTGAGCCAAGAGACAGTCAGTACTCACTGCATTAGGGTAACAAACAAACAAAACTCTAACAACTAGAACCAGGGAAGGATATGAAGAGAGGGTACTCATGCTTGTACGCCTGAAAACAAAGACTGCAAAAACCACAAAGACCATCACAGTCTTATACAAAAAAAGCCTCTGCAAGGATGTCTGCCCAGAAACTCTGTCCAACCTTCAACTGCCATCACCCTTGTTATTGACCTTTGTAGCCAAGATAATTATTTCAAAAGATGTATGTAATCATCCTCATTTTTTTTCCTTTAAAACCCTTTGTCTTCCTTTGCCTTACTGAATATGCACATAGTTTACTATGGCATTTGTTTTCCCATCGATTGCTCTATTCTCAAAACATATCTTTTATTTTAGAGACTTTTCTGTTTGTTACTTAGGTTCACAACCCACAAAGGATTTGAGATTTTAAGCAGTTTACAAATACATAAGAATATAGTAAAACAAAACATTTTTAATTTTTAAAAAGCAAGGCCAATAAAAAAAGATTACTAGGAAGAGAAGGAATTGTGAAAGGGGAAAAGGTTAATATAGGAATTGGATGGATGCAGTATCTTAGTCAGTTGTTTGAGTTGGGCTAAAAATTGTTTCCTGACAGCCCAAACAAAAAAAGAGAAATGAACTTTCATTTGTTCATGAGTACAGTACATATGAATTCTTTAACCACTTCTCTAGCTCTTAACCCTGAAAGAAACTTCTCTATAGGATACTGAATGATTCTTAAATCTTAAACAAAAGTTCTCTATAAGACACTGAATAATCTAAGAAATATTGCTTGAGCCCAGGAGTTCCAGACCAGCCTGGGCAACATAGAGAGACACCAACCCCTCCAACCCCAGCCCCTCCACCCCCACCAATCCCTGCCCACTACCACGCCCAGCTAATTTTTTGTATTTTTAGTAGCGATGGGGCTTCACCATGTTGGCCAAGCTGGTCTCGAACTCCTGACCTCTGGTGATCCGCCCACCTCAGCTTCCCAAAGTGCTGGGATTGCAGGTGTGAGCCACCATACCCGGCCAGATTTGCTTTCATTTGATTATTGAAAAGGTGAATGTTTGTCACATGACCAATTTGACTTCTAATGTGAATTGGATTTTTTACTTCCGTAACCCATTTTTCTTTGAAGTAGGGGAAAATGTTTTCTTCTTGCTTTATGTAAAATGTTTACATTATAAGAAAAACATCCCTTTGTCTCATATTTCCCAACTTTAAAAAAAATCATTTTACCATTTACTAGAGGTGGAATTGTAAAATTGCTTTTTAGGCTATAATTTTTAAATATTCAATTTATCAAAGACTGTGCTCAGGGGCTCACACCTGTAATCCCAGCACTTTGGGAGGCCAAGGCAGGCAGAATACTTAAGGACAAGAGTTCGAGACCAGCCTGGACAACATGGTGAAACCCCTGTCTCTACTAAAAATACAAAAAAATTAGAAAAACACAAATTAGCTGGGTGTGATGACGCATGCCTGTAATCCCAGCTACTTGGGAGGCAGAGGCACAAGAATCACTTGAACCTTGGAGGTCGAGGTTGCAGTAAGCCAAGATCATGTCATTGCACTCCAGCCTGGGCAACAGAGTAAGACTATGTTTAAAAAAATAAAAATTAAAAAACCAACTTATCAATCATTGAATAATCCATACTTGTCCCACTGACTTCCCAACACGTATGCCATATATTAAATTCTTAAAAACACTTCAATCTATTTCTGGTCTTTATCTAGTTTATTGATCAGTTCAGCAATTCCAGAGCATAATCGTTCCACTTTTTTATTTGAGTTTATATTACATTTTCCTATCTTATATGGCAAATCCCTCTTTGTTACTTTCACTTTCTCAGAATTTTCTAGCTATACTTAACTATTTATTTCTCCATATAACTTTAGAAGACTTTCCAAGTTCAAAAAAACCAGAATTTTCATAGAAATTGCATTAAATTTATTCATTTCTTTTACCTAGTTTTTATGCAAACTTTGCATAAATTATTTCATCCATTCTAATGGTTATCGTTACCATGTAAGACAGCGATTTATCTTTTTTGTTACATTTTTAACTGACTAGTACACCAAACTTTCTTAATAATTTTAATTTTCAGCTTATTTATTTAAGTTTTGATAATTATATAACCTTATTATATATATTTTGCTTCCTTCTTTGCAATATTTGTTATTATCTTGACTGCTAATAAAATGACACTTCAAGATTCATGTCTAATAATAGTGTTAATAGCCAACTTCCTTGTCTTATTCCTGACCTCAACAGGAATGCCTTCACTATCTAGCTATTGATTTCAGATTAGTATTTTTATTAGATTAAGAAACATGCTATTTGTATTTTACATGGAGATTTTAACAACATGAATGGCTATTTTATTAAATGAGTTACAGCATGTGTCAGAATTCAATTATACTCCAAGTCTTTGGAAGGAAAGAGCTATAAAGCCATGTAAGAACTGTGTGAGGTTCACTAGCTTAAGATAATTGTGAGTGAAACTTAAACTTTATAACCCCATATACTGGGGAGGCAGTTTGAAAAACATCTGTTCAGCTTCCCATAGCTAAATAAAGGTTATGCAAAACTTGATATATCTCATGCATCTATGTTACTCTGCATCTGTCTAGAATTGCAAGACCAAAGCAAGAAAATCATTTATTCATTCATTCTACATGCATGTGCGTGCACACACACACACACACACACACACGGTATACTTTGAGCTAGACTTGTTATAAGCACTGTGGCTATAATGATGAGCAAGCTCGATAAAGTTCTCATGGAGCCAAATTTGTAGTGAAAGAAGTCAGCAAATAAATTAGACAG